GACCCATGTGTATAAATATCTTATTGTCTCTCTACTGTAAGAACTCAAAAGAAGAAATAAAAATGAAAGGTATTGTTGGAGGCCATGAACCGGTATCCATTCTATTCCCCTGCTGAGTCACGTTTATGGCCTTTCTCACCTTGCCCATTCCCTGGGAATCACGTGCTATGCCCTAGGGGTTACACCCTCCCCGTTGCCTAGATACCTGCTGACCCCAACAGCCAAGACTTCCTCATTCCATCACCCCCTATATATACCCAGAACCTCCCCTAAATAAACGAGGCTTGATCAGAATCTTTGTCTTGCCTCCATTTCTCGCGTCTCCTGTCCTTTGTCCCCTCTTCAATTCCCCGCTCCTCCCCCAGGTGACCTTTGTTGACTGACCCACTGGTTTGGGACAAGGTATAACAGACAGTTAAATGGAAAGAAACAGAACTTAAAAATTAAACAACAAAGAGAAAAAGGAGAAAAGTTAGGAAATAAGGCAGGGGCAAAACCATACATGTATATATACAAGTTGGATAAGGCAATAGTCCTAAGAATTTCCATCAGGTTTTTGACAATATCAGTTAATGGATAGAATTCTCACCCTGACTAACTCTCGATGTTGATATCTGTGAACTAAGCAAATACATTGAGGACAGAAATGTGTAATACTACAACCATGCTTGAAATATCTGTCATCTTGGTCCTCTAAATATGTACCTTTTCTGATGTCATATCAATTATTACTATGCTCTCCTTAAGCTAAATTTTTAAAAATAAAAGAAAATGAGACTCAAGAACAAAAATTTAAGATTTCTTGAAAGTGTGTAGTAAAATTCAAACATATGTTCCATCTTGCATAACTATATCTGTTCATCTGAGCAACAGATTTGACGATAAAAATCAAAAATATATCAATCACTTTTAATCACCTATTCTTGTTTTGAAAACCTGTAACATACGTATTGTTACATATTACCCTGTTTCTGTTTTTGCCTTTGTTTTCCTTGCTCTTGTTTTTACTCTTCTAAATAAAGGAAAATTATAATAAAAATATTTAATACTAC